CCCAGAATGCTGCATAATGTATGCCTATAGAGACAAAAACATATTTAAGTTTACCAAAGATGCACAATGAGTGACACCAGTTTGCCATAATATATTTGGCCTAAGACCCCATGGGTTTACCCCAGAACCTTATAGTGGTAGCACCCGTAGGTAAGGCTGGCAGGATTTGCAAGTATGAACAATCTTTTTAAGGCCTGTGGGTATCTGTAATGTAACCCTCTCCAGTTAACGTGTGTTAACTCATTTAGTTGTGTAGCCTCCTGTAGCATCATGGTGTAGATGTTGGAGGCCAATCTGTCTGCCTACAAATTGCCTTGTGATAAAAAACCTGGGAGTGTAGAATGCTCCTTCACATGCTAAATGAGAATGAGGTGGGCTCAGCCCTCCAGTAGCTCCTACAATGTAACCAAAAAGGGGGAAATAGGATTAGCTCAAGGCAGACTTGTGTCTCAGGAAGATGGGAAATCATGTTGGCCATATATAGGCTAGCTATCCATTTAAAGGTTAAGGGTCTCATGTAGATCTTGAATTGCTAGAATGACTGTGAGCATTTCCTTATATTGGGTGGAACCTTCAGTAGGGCAAAATCTTTGCATCTTTGGCTTATCTGAACCTTTCTCAAAGGCTACATAGACCGAGCCAGCATGGCCTCAATCAGTAGAGACATAAAAAGCATTTGGCAAATGTTTTTGGGAAAAAAGGCCTTGTAAGGGTAGTATCCAGAGCAGTGTTGCTCAGAGAGAGGGACCATAATGACATTTGAGCTTTCCCTGAAATCCCTTGAGGGCTATAGCAAAGCAGGCATGCATCTGTATGAGCCCATCTACATCTGTTAGCCTAAAGGGGACTATTATAGCTTGAGGCTCCTTCCCAAAGTGTCAAAGGGCCTGGGTCTTTCCCTGTGCTTATGTCTGCCCAGGAATATACCCTCAGGGTTCCTCCCAAGTACAAATGGACCCATTCCATGGGATCACAATCCTAGGTTAGGACAACAGAGAGTAGGTGATCCCTGCAAAGATCCCAAGAGATAGAGGCAAGTCAATGATATACTGTTTCAGCAACATGGTGTCCACTGTGTCCTGGATTCACAAAAACAAAACAAAACAAACCAACAAACCAAAACAAACAAACAAAAAACTGCTTGATGCTCAGGGGTCAGTGCAACACATTCATGAGGTTTGACTCCCCAAAGGAGATTAAAAAGAAGAGCAAGGGTGTCCTTGGGGATGGAGATCCAAGGTAGGATCTAATTTATCTCTCCTAGAATGCTCTGAAGCTGAGCCAGGGTCAAACAAGTGGGGATGTCTAGTTAAGTTTGGATGGGGCTTGCCCACAACAAGGTGAGCTCAGTCCCCAAAATTTTAAAAGGGGGTACCTCTTTGATGTTGTTTCCAGCCACTTAAACCCATTTTGTGTAGGAGGTCAAGTACTTGCTTTAAGAGAACTTGTTGCCATAGGGCATCCAGTGTCCTACAATGAGGTCACTCATATGCATATATAAAATTACCCCTTCTTTATCACTAATCAGTTTTAGCAAAGAAGCTAAGTAATTTTGGCAAAAGGCAGGGCTATTATCTATGTCCTAGGGAGCATGACCCATTCATATCTCTCATCCAGGCTAGAGTAATTAAGAGAAGGACAGAAAATGCAAACCTGGCACAATTGTCTGTGTTGAGGGGGTGGAGAAAAAACAATCCTTAATATCTGAAAGACTCCCGTGGGCGTCTTCCTTCGGGAGAGACCCCGTGCCCAAAGATCAGTCGAAAACACGCAGCTGGATGCAAACAGCAAGAGGTTTATTCGAATACACAGGTACCTGGGGCGACAAAGTCTCTCGGAGGACTTGCGTGCCGTCCGGCTGGAGCGAGGGGTTTTTATAGGAGAGCAAAAGCGAGGTTTACAGAAGCGAGATGCGGGGTGGTAAATTCTTAACCTAAATAACAATGAGGGGACTACTCAGCGTTTTACTGTTCCCCTTATCCTGTCCCCTTCCCTGGCTGGCGACCAGATGTCTGATTGCACAGGCCCTGACTCGTGACGAGCCCCGCTTTATACGTGACTCAGGCCTCGCAATCCTCTCTTCATCCCTTGAAGTCTTTGTTCCTACTCAGGCCAGTCCATAAATCTCCTGTCCTGCAGCCAGATAAGGCTGTCCTTGCTCTAACCTCAGGTATCTTTGCTTAGCATTCCGGAGGCCCTGAACTGAGCTTGTTATTTGTTCAGCATTCCGGAGGCCCTAAACTGAGCTTGTTATTTGTTCAGCATTCCGGAGGCCCTGAACTGAGCTTGTTATTGTGAATCCTTTGCAAAACGGTATAACTGTGGCTAAAACGAGTTGGGGTCCTTCATATCTAAAATAGTAAGATCCAGGGGAGGCTCCTCAAAGGGGTACCCACTATTTTCATCCTGTCGTTTATCTTACTGAGGTCCTGTAGCATGTGCCAAGTCCCATTAGCCTTTTTAATTGCAAAGACATTGGTATTTCAAGGACTCCAGGAAGGGCGTATATGTCCCAACTGTAGCAGCTCCTGAAACAGAGAGCAGAAGGCCGCTAGTTTAGTCTGGGCAAGAAGCTATGGCTCCACCAAAATAAGTCTCTGTCTTCCATCTAATCACCAGGACCAAGTGGGCAGTGGCCCCTAGAATTTGGGGTGGTGCCTCTGATTATGTTGTTCCTTGTGGGACCTAGTATGGGCCTGTATTTCCTGGGATTCCTTCCCTTTTCTATGTTCTCCTGTCTGCCAATCTCCCTGTTCCAGGAAGTCATCAAAAAAGGCTGGGCTAGCTCAGCCAGTAGAGCATGGAACTCTTAATCCCAGGGTTGTGGGTTCAAGCCCCATGTTGGGTGCCAGCTGCAGGATCCCTCTGTAGACCTCAGGGTAGACTTGAACCAGCCACCTGCCACTGACCCTGGTTGAGAAGAGGAAGTGTGACACTTGTCACTTAGCCCCTGCAGTTCCAGAGACAATAAGACTCAGAAGGGAGTAGAATCAAGCAGGAACTCGTTTATTTCCTTACATCATGAAACTGATAAAGCAAAAACCAACGAATCCCAGAAGAAACAGAAGGGAAATCAGCCAATCACGTCAGCATTCATATCTGCAGGAGCCCGCGGCTCCTATAGTTCCTACTGGGTTTCACGCGGGCATCAGGCACTTTATTTCATCTTACCCCACCTCTAACTCCAATCATCTTCTTGTGAATAAGTCAGATCTCCTCCCACCTTGTTCCCCTTTAGCATCATCTTGGCTGGGAGTATTCTTCATGGACTTTACAATGTCACCATTTTTGAATTTTGCGTCTTTTTCTAACTGTCACACTTTTGGCATAGCTGTCATGCTTTTGGCATAGCTCTTAAGCTTTTGGCGCCAACTGCGCCTTTTTCTAATTCACTCTTTTTGTGCTAACTTGGCCACTCCAGCCCACAGGTGGTAACATGCAAAGGATCTGCACAGGTCCAATTCGATGGGGTCTCAGTGCTGAGACATCAGGATGGACACCTTCTCCTGCAACCAAGAAACTATCTCCACTTTAAAACTGCTTCAAAGGGAAAATTAGGTTTTCTCCAAGGCCATTTCAGTGGGTATACAAACAATACTTTGGGACAGGCCTCATGCCCAGCAATAGATTGCCAACTTGAAAGAACTCAATTGTGTTTCTATGGGCTATTCTTTTTTGGTCTCATAATGCTTTAACTGGGTCATTATTAAAGATATTGCTCACTTGCTTATATGTAACAGTTTCCAATTTTGTCGTTTTAAATACCTTTTGTGTGTCTATATGTCTTTGCATATATATGAGCTTCTCATGCTTTTTACTTTTTACTGTTTTTGTTTATTTGTTCTATTCTGGCTTAATTTTTTACTTGTGTGTTTCCACAAAGAAAGAAAGAATGTGTGGAGTTAGATATGTCCAGAGGTAAGGACATGCCTATAAAGGTACCAAAAGCTTATACAACAAATAAACTAGACCAGAAAAGAAAGTTCCCTTGCCATATAATAAGCAAAACACTAAACAACAGAACAAGAAAAAATATTAAAATCTGCAAAGGAAAAAGGCCAAGTAACATATAAAGGCAGACCTGTTAGAATTACTTCCTATCTATAATTCTTATTGTAAAAAAAATGTAAAGCTGTTATTTCTAGTGTCACCACTTCTAGGCACGCTCACATAAATCCTATTGGAAATTAGGAATTGTTTATTATCTGGGAAGCTTAGATAATCTACATTTTAAAGAAAGGTGGTTGCAATGGGGGATAAAGACTGAATTACAAGGAAGTCAGTTAATTTGTGAAGCTCTAGAAAGTAAATGTTTTAGACAATCTAGTCGCTGTTGTGAACACTTAGCTGCTGTTTCCACGATAAAGCAGCAATGGATAAACAATTCATGAATGAATGACCATGGCTGTTTTCCGGTTCCTTATTGAGACTAATGGCAGGCCTGGTTTTTGTAACTGTAGATTGTCGTCTGCCGAGCATTGGGAAACAGCAGTTGTTTGGATCATATTCAATTATTGTATAATTAATTAGTTCCCTATTGTGTGACCTTGAGGAGGTTTTCATTTTTTCTTCTGAAAGCAATGCTTTAATGAGAAGATTTGTATATGTATTACATTACAGAAACATAAATATATTTGTAGAATTAATTGCCGCAAATATCATTGTGACATAAATTGTAAATATATATATTCATTTATATTTTGGCTTGGTCATTTTATGTGAAATGTTTGTTTATATTGCATAATTAAACACATTGTATTTTGAAAAATATGAAGAAATCGTAGAAATGATGTCTTGATTAAATAAGTTCGGTTTATCTTGCTGTTCTAAAAATTAATTTATTAGATCTTCAAATTTAATTCTTTTATCATCTTCATATTGAGCGGATAAGCTGGAAGTGTTGTCCCATGCTCTTTAAACACAAGATGGAAACAGTTAACCTGTGTTTTCAATTTTGAGAAATGATCCAAATGGTTCTAGAATGTGTAAGAGAGGTTTCTATTTCATGATATTAGCGCTAGCATTTGATAAAATAAATGTGTACATCTTAGTCATGTTTGGGATGTTTCTGAACATTTAAGCTTCCTCAAGTCAGTGTCATGCCAATTTGAGTTTAAGCTGTGGTATTTTTGTATTTCCTCACACCTTCTTTGTAATTGCTGGAGATCTGATAAAGTCACAGCTGTGAAAAGCCTCCTACAGAGTCTGCTCATGTTAGGGCTGTAGCTGCACACCCAGCTGCAGTTTGCAGACAGGCTGCAGGCCTGCGGGGAGCACTGTGCACTCGCAGCACAGAGGTAGGTGCCTGAGTCCTCCAGCTGGGCATCCCTGATGTGCAGGGTGCTGTAGCGCTCCTTGGAGTCGAATACTGACGTTAACCTCCCATGCTCCTTTCTTCCTGGAGCCTGGTAAAAAAGACTGATGAGATTGCCTCTGGAATTCTGCCGGAACCACTGCACAATTGCCATAGTGGTAGAAAAATTGCATGACAGAGTAGAATTGTTTCCCTCGTGGAGACTCAGGGCTGAAGGACTCTGCTCCACCTCAACTCCTCTCACCCCTGCGTGGAAATAGAAAAACAAACCAGAATCACTGAAGGGCTTTCACCCACACCTGTCAAATACCTTAGGAGACACCATAAGGATGGCCGTACAGGGGCTTTGGGTCTGTTCATTCTCCCTCCTCCACTGCCATCTCTAAATAATCCCAAAAGCAATTTAGGGGAGCACAACTCACAGTAAATCTGCACCCACAGAATCCACAGCACAGCTCTCAGTTTCCTCTCCATGACTCCTGTCCCGTTTCCGGATGTCTTCTCTCCAGCTGTGAGGGTGTCAAGTCTTGTGCCTAAACACACTTGTGCTTACACACAGCAGATTCTCTCTGAGGCGCTAAGCTTCCTCATTCATCTGAACAAGAAACCCCACCCACCACCATCTCAAGACTCTGCATGGCAATTGCTGTACAAACTGTGGAGGACAATAATATAGAGCCCAGGATACTAGATTTCTAATGTAACACTTCTTATAAGAGGAATTTTGGGGAAAATGTGTGAGGAAGGGAATTCATAATTTCTGAATATTGGTGTGAAAAATAATGACTTCATTGGGTTAAGCAGAATCTTGAAGCAAACTAGCAACATTCTTTTCTCAAACAATTTCATACATTATATTCTTATCTTGTCTCCCATCGGCCAACTCCTCCCAGATCTTTTCTGTCTCCTCATTCCACTAAAACATGCCTTTTTGCTCTCCCTCCACCTCTCTCTTTAGAAAGGAAATAGACATCAAACAAACAGCCAGAATTAAAAATAATAACAAAAAATAAAATACACACAAAACCCCATAAAACACAAGAGATGTAAGCATAAAATAACAAAAGTCCTATGAGACCAAAAAAGAAAAAAAAAGCAACAGCAGAGCAGTATGATACAAAAGCATCATTGGGGTCATTCTGTGTGGCCATCTATTGAGGGGCCATGGGACCACACTTCAGTGTATTTAATGTACCCAGTAAGAAGGTCCTGGCACCTTAAGTCACACAGTGGGACAATCAGCATGCAATAAACTACAAGGAATAAAAAGAATTTCTTGAAATTATCAGATTGTCATGTGCATAGAAAATGTTCCCAAAGACAGTTTTATTGGTTTTAAGAAAAACGAGGCATGCCCATATTTTCACTATGATTTATTTTCAATCTCTTGCCTTCAGCCCAGATGTTTTATGCATGAAAACACAGATGATTCCAACCAGGCTGTGAATTCATACTCAAGTTCAGCGAGGCCCACACCCTACTGTTTTTTCATACCACATATTTTCCAGTTTTCTTCTTAAATATTTCTTTCTTTTCTTTCTTTATAGATAGATGTATAGATAGGTAATGTGTATATATTATATATGATATAAAGGAATTGGAATAATTTCCAGTTTTTTGAATATAGGTAAATTTTAAAAATAAAACTAAAAATTGAAAGCAGTGGAGATGTTTTCTCACGAATGTCCGTCCTTACAATGCCCAGTGAGAGTCTATTTTGCTTACATCTGTTCAGAGACTTGTTTTTAAAATGGATTTATAAGCACATAAGATTCAGTGAACAGATTCTAGATACCTGTGGTTTTATATAGAATGATTGAGATCTTTGTTTCCAGTGAACTCCAGTCAGTCACCTCTACTCCTTGCTTTGTGAGTGGATTGTCTTATGTCTTTTCTGGAATCTATTTTTTATTAGTACCAATTTGCTGAGATATTGTATAATATTCAAATACCTATATTGAACATGTACAAGTATCTTCCAATGACAATTTTAAATTGCTTTTATTGAGCTATATATTTTTCTTTGCTCCATGCCCTTTCACTTGCCTCCCCTTCTACCCTCTCCCATGGTCACCTGCTCCCAATTTACTCAGGAAATCTTGTCTTTTTCTACTTCCCATGCAGATTAGATCCATGTATGTTTCTCTTAGGGGCCGATTATTGTGTAGGTTCTCTGGGATTGTGAATTGTAGACTGTCTTTTCCTTGCTTTATGTCTAAAAACCACTTATGAGTGAGTACATATGATAATTGTCTTTCTAGGCCGGGGTTACCTCACTCAACATGATGTTTTCTAGCTTTATCAATTTGCTTGCAAATTTCAAGATGTCACTGTTTATTTCTGCTGTGTAGTACTCCATTGGGTAAATTTACCACATTTTCCTTATTAATTCTTCGGTCGAGGAGCACTTAGGTGGTTTCCAGGTTCTTGATATGACCAACAATGCTACCTACTATAAACATAATTGAGCACATGTCCTTGTGGTACGATTGAGCATCCTTTGGGTATATACCTAAAAGTGGTATTGCTGGGTCTTGAGGAAGATTGTTTCTTGATTTTCTGAGAAATCGCCATACCGATATCCAAAGTGGCTATACCAGCCTGTACTCCTCCCTCTATGCAATGTAAGCAAACGTAATTTCTAGGAACTCTGCAGTGCCCCCTAGTAGACTGACAACAACAACAATAGTGACTTGAGGCCATCTTCACAACTCTCACTAAACTCACCCTTTCCACCCCATCCTTTCCTGGTGAAGGAAATGCATGTTAGGAAAACATGACTGTCAGATGTAATTCTCAGGAGAAATAAAAACGTCTACAAAAATCTCAATATTGCTCATCATCTTTACTAATCGGAGAAATGCAAAAAAAATAACTTTGAGATTTCTTCTCAATCCAGTCAGATTATCCAGAATTAAAAAACAAAACAAAATAAAAAAACAGCTGACAACAAATGCTGGGAAAGTTGTGTTGGGTATAGGAATCCACATTCATTCTCGGGAGAATGCACATTGGTACAGCTCCTCTGGAAATAGGTGTGAAGAATTTTCTAAATACTGAAGATAAGTCTACCACATGTCCAGGCTATGCTACTTCTGGGTCTATGTCCATAGAACTCTCTGTCCTACTCCACAGGTATTTGCTTAGCCATGTTCTATTGCTGTTCTATTCACAGTAACTAGAAAATGGAAACAACCAAAATGTCTTTCAATTGATGAAAGGATAATGAAAATGTGGCTCCTATGCATTATGGAATATACACTAAAGCGAAGAAAAAAGCCATCATAAACTCTGCAGGTAGATCAACGAAATTAGAAAAATTATTTTGAGTGATTTGACCAAGACCCAGAAAGAAAAATGCCACATGTTCTGCCACTGAACTCCTAACCACAATGGAAATTGTAGAGATAATAATTCCAAATCTTCAAATGTAAAAATATAACTTGGAGTAGCTATAGAGGCCAGAAAGATACAAAATGGATTGTGTGTTTGGGGGAAGCATGGGAAACATAATTTAATGAAAGAAATAGAAAAAATTAGGGGAAAGAAGGCTAACATAGAGAGAAATGGAGGAGGGTGAAATTACAGTAACCATATTTTAATATATTTTAAGGAATCATACTATTTATCTAAAATCACACTATTTAGGTAAAATTACATAGAAATATGTAAATATAGGTATATGTGTGTACATATAAATTCATAGTTTTAATTAAATGTTTACATCTGTGCTGACAGCTCTTCTCTCAAGAGCCATAGACATATTAAAAAAATAAACTCAATACCAGTCATGAGATACCTTCATGCAAGTTGTTGGCAGGAAATTTCAAGAGACTCTTAAACCTTTTAGACTATTTCTATTGACCTTGCTTGTATTCCAGAAATTTCACTGAATCTTTATTACTGATGACATCATTTAAAACATAATACTGAAAGGATTCCAGCTTGATCTGACTTGAAACCATCCTCCCCGATTACTAACTTTCATGATACTAGAGGATGGCATTCAAATTTCCAAGGGAGAGAAGAAACAAATTACCCTCTCTGACTGTTATGTCTATTAACTTCAATGACTAATATGGTATGAAAACATAGTATGCAATAGAGGGACTCATATATTTGTGGGAACAAACAGCTCTCTAATTGGACATACAAACAAGAAGAAAATCAGTCTACTACCCATGCTAGTGAGGTTAGGTATCTTGGAGGAGACAGGAACATATGTGCATATAGATAGTACTAAATGGACTCAGTAGGTTGCTTGTAAATAATCTATGTATAATGTAGACTTAGAATATTTGGAGGAAGAGAAGACTAACTGAAGTGGGTTGGAACAAGGGATGATGATGAGATAAATATGGGCAAACAATGATATGTCTGGATGAAAATGTTATAAAAATCATTTAGTGTATATTGACTGAAAATAAGATTTTCTTAGTAATTTTAATCTTTTGTGGGAATTTTACTAAACAGAAAATTAAATGGAAATGCAGACAACCACATGGATGTCATTCATTGAGACAACAAACTCATTTTCCAGTGAGAGTTGACATGGGCTCTAAGTATGAGTGTAGGTGGAGACTGCACGTTCATTTCCTGGCCACCCAGACTCGAATAGTCACATGAAAACTATTAATTCCAACACTGGTCAAAGTATCAGGCTTATTCCTAGCTTGGTCTTTCATCTTAAATTAACCCATTTGCATTATTTTATATTTTACCACAATGCTCATGGTTTTTACATCACATATTGCTTCTTGGGTAACTAAATGGTATCTGCCTGTCTCTACGTTCTTTCTCCCAACATTTAGTTTAGTTTTGCCCTGCCATTGGCCAAAGCAGTGGCATTAAAACATATTCATAACATACAGAGGGGAATCCTACATCATAGGAGTGCAGAAAAACTCTACTGTGACAGGTACCTTGTAGCACTAGACAAGGTATTTATTTCCCATCACATACAATTTCCATTTCTGTAAATAACCTACACAATTTGTGTGGGGTAATAATCAGCAACTATCAATTTATTTATCCATTGTAGTAAACATTTCAGTGGATATTACCTTCAATCACATATATCAATGCAGAAATCACAAAATTGTATGACAAACTCCCCAATTCCCCTCCGCTAATAAATGTTAGGTCCTAAACTTCAACCCAAGTCTTTGTCTTTGGAATGTTGCTTTGCTGCCCAAGGAGGGAAGGTTCAAGAACTTTAGCATATCTACTAAATACTGAACAAGAAAACACATTGATATCATACAACACAGTAGCATCCCTACCTTAGACACTTGCTGAGTCTGCCTACTGCATCTTCCATTAAAGAGAAGCAGGCAAACTCCGAGGTTGCAGTGTCTGCCTACATGAGAAAGCTCATGGAGTTTTCTGATGTGTACTTGGCAGTCTGCACTAACGACAGCTTTCACGGCTTCTTCCAGATATATGTAGTCCATGACATGTCTTAATGCCCAGTGAAAATCCTTACATTATGCTGCAAGGGTGAAGACAGAGTGGACGCTGAGAAGAGCTTATCATTTCCTACAGTGGTTTCTCGTTCACCAGTGACTTCTTTTAACCAACCAGCATATTTCTGGAG